TAGGGCTGTGCAAAAAATCGAATGCGATTTTCATGCGCATCTCGTCAGTAAAGCCGCTCCTGTGATTAGTAGTAAATCTCCAGTATGTGCTTTCAGATGGAGCGGCATTTATTACACAGAGCCGTAGTTCACTGACAAGCTACACAAAATCGCGTTCAAAATCGGCAATGAATCGCCTGCGATTTTGAACGAGACCAGCCCTACTATGATCAGATGGTTTCTTAAAGGCATCATATGATGCGATTTCAAGTTTTCCTTTCTCTTTGGAGTGTTACAAGCTGTTCGTGAATAGATAAGATCCCTAAAGTTGCAAAGACTAAAGTCTCAAACCCAAAGAGATATTCTTTATAAAAGTTAAGACTGGTCCACGCCCTCCAAAAACGCCTCGTTTAAACACGCCCCCACATGTCTACGTCACGATGTGGGAAGATTTGCATAACGCCGCCCAAATGTTCACGCAAAGAAAGAAGGCATAACTTTATTGTTGCTGCCACCGCCGCCGCCATGTCGTGGAGACGCTGTGTGTTTTGTTGCGAAAGCGAAAATACTTTGTTTAACCTTCCAAAAGAGGACACGACTAGAAATCAGTGGTTAAGTTGTATTTACAACACTATTCCAGAACATTAACTGAAAACTGAACTCAATATGTTTAGCTATACAATGTTATGTTATGCAGTATTCACCTTATTGTACCACTTGTCATAAGGGTACACTTCCAAATAATTGCGAGCAATGATCGTCAATCCACTAGCAGAGAATCTCTCTTCAGCTATTTCAATCTCGACCGTCACCTCTTGACCCTGAGCATCTTTGGAACAACAGGCCAGGAAGTGACGTACAATGAACTCATACAGCCGCTTTTCATTTCCCTTTAAAAAAAAGAAAAATAATTAAACACTGTTGTGTAAGTTGGTACCAGTTATGATGGTCCTAACAGACAGCTTGCTCACCTGTAAACTGTTGGTGTATTTGGTGGGGTGAATGGGGGGATGGGCCTTATCTGATTTGTTTCCATTTCGAGGTGTGGGCCCACCGCTTTCCAAAATGCGCTGAGCAAAATTTCCCCATTCGTTGTCTTGTGTCTGTTGCTCAACCAGCATGGTTAGGTTCAGGTTTTGTGGAAACATGTTGGTCTCAGTTCGAGGATAACTGATAAACCTGGAAGGAAACAGACAGGCTGATTTGTGAAGGGACACAACAGACACACTGTAGACCACAGACATGTGGATGAACTAACCGTTAACATACCCTTGAGTGTACAGCTTTTCTGCGATTTTCATGGTTTCTTTGGCACTTATCCTCAGTTTTCTTGAAGCCAGTTTTTCAAGTTCCTGAACAAAATAATTGAGACATATTAACAAATATATTACATTTTTTCTCCATCATTCAGTTTTTGATCACACTTAACTCATTCAGCAGTACTACTCATTTTTTGGGTATTCATGGGCACAAGTCACTCATAAAATTGCAAGCTACTAATTTTAGTAGCTAATGACCATTGTGTACACAAAACTGTCAAATTTGTCCATATTCATCATCTTGCGTGTAGTTGTATAGCATATACTATATGACCAAAAGTACACTACTGTTCAAAAGTTTGGGGTCAGTAAGAATAAATTAGGTATAAATTACATTTTAAAATAGATTAAAATAGAAAACAGTTATTTAAATAGTAATATTTCACAATATTAGTTTTTACTGTATTTTTGGCCAAATAAATGCAGCCTTGGTAAGCTTAAGAGTTTTCTTTCAAAAACATTCAAAAGATGTAACCAAACTTACATTTCTCAAATGGTAGTGTATGGGTGTGATGTCTGAGTGTCCACATTCTTTTCTCTATATTTCCAAATTTTTTAAATGTAGAAAATCTGTCAAGTTTTAAATTACTTACCACAGTGTCAAGGGGTAAAGGTCGCCATTTGCTTTTTGGTTTACTTGTTACAGATATAACTTTTGCCATGGGATCCTAAAGAAAAGATTAAAACCAAACAGAAAACTTACGATGACATAATAATGAACTACAAAGCTTACATATGTTTTTTTTTTTAAAGTTCTTAACAAGGTAAGCTGAAGAACACACCTCCATGCACATCTGATACAACACAAGGCATGCTGTGTGACTGAAAAGACGATGTCTTTTCCAGCTGAATTCAACCGATTCCTCTTCATTAGGCTCATGGACAACTATCAAAGAGAAATTTCACATACACACAATAAAGTGTATGTGACAACACTACAAAGCACTTGTTGCATTTGGAGTACCTTTGATTTTAAAGAAAGTTTCAGGGACGAAGGCTTGAATGGCTTTAAACCGTTCTACCACAAAGCCAAGGGTCGGGAACTGACAACTGCCATAACTGATGAGCTGATCTGAGAGAGATTCTGGGAATATCTTCTGCAAGCGTAATGTCTGGAACCTGGTAAATGATGCGCCTGAAGGAACACAAAGTACATTCGCTAAACATTGTCTAAAAGACAGCAGTTTGTGTTTAAGTCCTCTTTTATTTTGAAATGCCTACCGATGCGGAGATCCAGCTCCTGTCTCACATCCACCGCATCACTGATGTTGATATCCGGCTCAGTAAGGGTCTCACAGGCTCTCCTTATGGAGTTTGGGGTGATCTCAGAGAACCGTGCACGGAAGACCTGAATGTTTGGCTTCACTTAATTAAAAGATATCCCATGTTAAAAGGCTGTTAGGAATATACAGCATCAGTACAGTGAATAGCTAGAACCATGATGCACTAAACTAACCTGCTTTGCAAACATCAATGATCTCAAAGCCGATATTTTCTCCTTCTCTGTCACAATCAGTCCAAATGACCAGAGCTTGACACTGTCTCACCTCTCTCTCCAAAGTCCTCTGGATTATGTAAATACATACATTAAAATATAAAACACAAGCTCCTATTCTAAAAATACATCTAGCTGAATGAATGAAAATGAATACTTTGATCGGTATAAAGTTCTCAGGGCAGTACTTCTCCACCTCAGCATCAAACAACAGGACTGGATTACAACTATGCCTGTGAAACAGACCACATGATAAAGTTTATATATTTAAAGATATAAAGAAATATAACCGTTTACCATTTCTGAAAAGGAGCTTTGAATTCAAGACTCAAGAGATGTCCTGATACAGATGTCATGCATACAGCTACATTCTGTGGGGGGAAAAAACACGATCAGCAAATAGAGACTATATGTACTACTTCTATCTACATATTTCTCAGTAATTAATTTTAAAAAGGACTTACTTGACCAAACAGGTTGTATTCGTACTCATATATTTTGTTGTAAACAGAGTAGCCTTCTCTCTGTCAAGAAAACAAGATTTATTACCACTGATGATCATTAAATAACAACTCGTTTGATAACTATAAGATCTGACATTACAGATCAAAGTAACTGTGTATAACAGTCAGCACTCACTCTTCTCGACCTCCCATTTGACATGATCTCTGCTATGCCCTTAGCTGCATCGTTTTTCTCAGCAACACAAAGCACTTTCTTAATCTGAGTGCGCCTTATCATGTTTACAGATATTTGCCTATAAAATCGACTGCCAATCACTCTTAGTGATCTAAACAAAACGTTCATAACTGTGATCTAGCGGCGCATGATCACTGTAAGTTACACCCCGGACATTACATAAAAATAACAGCTTGTTAAACAGCATAAAACTCTGACAACCTATAAGTTAACTGAGATAAAACATATCAGCGTAAACGTAATGTCTTTGAAAAAACGCTCTGTAAATGTTTTAAATTAAGTGCGAACACAGCAGATGAATAAACTCTCTGTAAAAACTTCCAATTCCGGCGCCTGATGAGAATTGTCGTAAAAATACCGTAAAGCAATGTGCTAGAATCTGGTTGCTGTGTTGTGTATTTTCCCTCTCAAAGGATTTCATACTCATCTCTGAATTTTCGGAACAGGTCGGTCCACAGCCTTTACTCACCATTCCCAATGATCCCAAAGTGTGTGGGACATTTGACCTTAACTACTTCTCACTTCGCATCATGTCTGTGGACTACCAGGCGTCTTTTGTTGGACATCCTCCTGGCAGTAACTACCCAAAGCTCAATTTTGTGGAGGACTCAAAAGTTGTCCTGGGTGATTCCAAGGAAGGGGCGTTTGCTTACGTCCATCATCTGACACTGTACGACTTGGAGGCTCGTGGATTTGTACGCCCCTTTTGCATGGCCTACATTTCCGCAGACGAAAAGAAGATCATGCATCAGTTTCAAGAACTGTCATCCGAGTTTTCCAAGGCTTCCGAATTTCTCAAGTCAGGCAACAGGAAAGCTTTTGCAAATGAACTGGAAAAGAAACTGAAAGACCTAGAGTACACCAGATCAGTGCTGCACAAAGAGACTGAGCTGCAAAAAAAGAACAATGGCTGTTATTCCACACAAGCTATTGAGAAGGCGAATGAATTAGCAAATGTGGAGAAGTCCATCTATGAACACAAAGATCTGCTGCGGCAAATAACATCTTATCCTTCCAGGAAAAAGAAAGATGTAGATTTTGTACAACGCGAGACAGAGAAACTGGCTGACACAAGTGTATTGGACGATACACTAAATAGTAATCATTCTGACATTGCAGATAAGACTGTGGAAACCGAAAGCGATAGTAGAAAGTCCTCTTACACGCCTCAGCTCATTAAGGCCAAATCTGCGAAGTGCTTTGATAAACGCTTGAAAACGATGGAAGAGCTCTGTGATGCCAACTTTTTTCACCAAACTCTAGAGCAACTAAACATAACTGAGAAGTCATTCCGAGGAGATCTGTGCTTTATTTACACTAGCCAGATTGACGGGGCTCTTCTGGGCAAACAGAGAGTTACTAGTTTTCTCTTCGAAGCTGAACGCGAATGGGAGAAGGAAGGAACCTCAAAGAACTTCAATATTTTTTCCCACAATCCAACAGTCCCTATTCTGAACTTATCTGGCGAGCTGCTGAGTCTCGAATCATACACCACCTGCATAGATATAGATCACATTAAGCCAGGTGTGGAGTCTATGGAAGGGCCTCCTGAGTCCAGTTTATCTGACATTACGCAGGAAACCTCAGAGGCTGCCGACACGGAGACCAAAGGGAGTTTCAGTAGCGACAAGAGCATTGAGGCTTTTGGAGGTGTCAGTCCTTCCAGTCTACAGGCAAATTACTTTGATGGTCTAGAAAGAAAGAGCAAGGTATCCATTGCATCACCATCTGAAAGTGCATCCAGCTATGTTGCCGTCCCACAAAAGATGACTGATGGGAATCTAGTCCCGATGGATGCAGCCTGCTGTATTGGACAGGACGGTTTCATTTTTGAGGAACCTTTACCTGAGCTTGCTCAGGAGTGCTGTGGCGACACAGTGGTGAACCAAGAACCTCTGTCTCTTCTTCAGGGAGACCCTGCCTTACAGGTGGACTACATTTTGGAAGAGTCAGCCCTTGCAGAGAGCCCAAACATGGGACTGACTTTTTCTGAACTGAACACTGGTGTTCTTTCTGAGGAGGTGGCAAAAATTAATATCGAATATGTCTCCGATAGTACGAGCTTTATGAGCGCCTCCACCAGTTCTGACCGTGCTGTGTCTCCGTTCACCTACGGTAGTGCGTTGACGCTAAAGCAGAAAAAGAAAGCTGGTCACAGCGCTCTTCGATTCATCAGGCAATATCCATTTGCTCAGCAAGCCATTTTCTGCCTTCTGAGTGGCCGAACGCTTGTTATTTTAGGGGTGGATGAGGGCACGGTGAGGAAGCTAGTCAATGCTTTGTTCTTTTTCGTTCCCAATCTCGGCAAGTACGGTGAAACCGTCCAACCGTGGCTTTCATCGCCATTTCAGCTTACCGACCTGCAGAGATGGAAACTTATTGGGTTGCAGAGGTATGTTGAGAAAAGCTGACCTGTAGTCAGTCAATAACTCTGTATCATAGTTTCAAAAGTGTTTTTTTGTTTGTTTGTTTTTGCTTGCAATGCTTTAAATCAGTGACCAAAAGTGCAGTGTTTCATTATTTTTGTCATTTCCTCTCTTTTTTCCAGAGCTGCCTCCCCGGCTGGATCCAGCATTCTCCACTCTTTGAATAGATACAGCCGTTACATAAGCATTTTGGACTGTGACAGCAAGACCCTCCGGTGTCCACCATACAAAGGAACACTAATAAGCCATTTGGCAGACCACAGGACTCAGATCAAACGTGGCAGTACCTACTTCCTCCATGTTCAGGGTATGTTGACTCAGCTTACAGCCAAGGCATTCCTTTACACATTCTGCCATCATATTCACCTTCCCATGGACATCAACGACCAGGGCTCGGTAACATCACGCAGGACTAATTTCTTGTTGCAGCTCGGCTACACTGTGGAGGAGAGTAAAATCGTCCAGTACCTGAGTGAGCTCATCAAGCAGCATTACATTCAGGGATCATCGATGGGGGGCAACCAGTCTTTTTGTTTTAATTACACCACCAGCTATTTGTACAAAATCTGATTGTGTCCACTATATGTTCAACATTGACCCATTGATAAAATCAGGAGACCAAATGTATTGAATGTAATCACCTTTTTTCTCTTCATGGCATTCCAGGAAACAACAGGTTGAACGTCTGGTGTTAGAAAATGTGGTATTGACTATTTGTTTAGTGTAGAGGTTGCATATTTAAATCTATTGCCAAGCCGTTTTCTGTAAAATGGTTCCTCTTGTGGTCTGAGGACCTTACAAAAGCTCTGAAATATCAAGATTCAGCAAAATTTCACTGTCTTTTAAGCACAAGTAGTCTTGTTTTGAAAGAGGCTGTACAAAACGGCTCATTTAAATATGTGTAGCCACATGCTTGTTTTCGTTGACAGCAAAAGCTACACGGGAACAGCAGCAGGAGAGTCTCTAATTACCATTTAATTAATCTGGTCCTGGTATCCCATTTAATAATTAATGTTTTTTTTTTTGTCTTCACAAGCATAGCAACTGTTGCTGCATGAAAATCACAAGCATAATTTTAATGGAACTAATTTATGAGGCAATAGAATTTATAATACACATTCTCCTCAATATGCAGCTTTTATAAAATGCATTAACATTGTGTATTTACATTAGTAGATAATTTGATGTTAATTCATGGATTGGTCAGTAATTAGCTTTATACGTGCTTGATACTTGCTTTCTGGACTTGAGAAATAGTTAATACACTAAACTAATTAGTAATATAGGGAAACCATGCAAATTAGCCTGAGATTTATCCTTTTTTCTGCCCTCTGTAGTCAACATAAAATCTGAGGGGACAATTGAATATTTTGTATAACTGAATACAAAAATGAACAAAGGCATTGTTAAACAAAAAAAAATGAGCCAACTGCCCTTCATGTTTTAACGTAATTGTGTGATGAGAATGAATGTACTGCATGTAAAATGTCACATCGTGGAGGACTGTTACACAACTTTTCTGCATGTTTGAAGAACACAAAAATGTAACGGTGGCAAATTATAGACACTTCCATTGTATCTCATGTGTTGTACTATTCAGCCTTTCTAGATATATTTAAAATGGATATAAATTGTTGTCTTAAGTTGTGTGCAAGCATCGTCAGCACGAGTAACTGTGTGGATGAAGTAGCACTTCATTCTAATGGCTGTTGCACTGATGTGAAATGAACGATAATGGTGGTTGTTGCCAAAATACATTGTCTGTAATTGTTATTCCCACTACTGCATGATAGCAGTTGTAGTCCAGAATTACAGATCTTGACTGCCACCGCTGTGTTTCATCACAAGTGTTTTCATATCAAGTTGTGTTGGCTACCCAGTAATTATTGGCCTTTGTAACGATTTGTTAGACAGATTTTTCAGCATTTAATTGCAGTCTGTTGAATGTAAATTGAGAATAAGCCATACCATTATATGCACATTAACTTCTAAGAAGGTTATTTATTTTAGCCGTTTCTGAACAAATCTTGTTTGCTGTAACTGTCTTAATCATGCATTTTTGTTGCTACTTTTCATAAATCTATTTTAAGACAGTATTGTGAGCTTGTCTGGGGTAAGGTGAGGTATACTGTTCACGCTAAAGTATTTATGGATGTTAAGTCGAGTAAATTTTAAGGGTCATCTGCGTGCTTTAAGTTGTTGCCCACTGTGAAATTTCTCTACCTTCAATTTCATTAAATTATTTCTGATTTAGCTTTGTATTGCTTAATTTAATGGCATTATACCTACAGAATAAAACAGTTTGTCTTTAGCAAAAACATACTTTCCTTTATTAAATAGTAAAAGGCACATGATTTGTCTCATTCTGGATTGGTAATGACTTGCACATGTAAACTTATTAGAGTAAATAGTAACAGTGAGAAGTAAATTTTACACTTAAATCAGCAAGAAAACGATCCAGTAACATGTTCACATTTACAATATTTCAGGCTTTATTTGCACTGCATGTACAGATTCATTGTGCCAGTTGGTTATTTTCTTCTCTGTTGATCTGTTTGTGTACACAGTAAAACTTTTCATAGATTACACAGCTTATTCCACAATGGGTTTATCCACAGAAATGAGAGGAAACATTACTAGAAACACTGTAAAGAAACCAATTAAATGTGTGATCAAAAACAGACCATTTGATGATTTATATAAATGGTAAGTCATCTCATTGAGGTGCATTATAATTGCAGTGGACAGCCTTTGTGCCCATTAAATCAATAGAAATCTTTATTTCAGGAAGAGCAAATAGTCACAAAGACGGTAATTATAACTCTGGCAACCCAGGCATTGGGAACTTTCCAGCAAAGTCTTCGACTTCCTTTCGAATTACGTTTATTTTCAGTTGGTACTTCTCATTTTGAGCCAGTTCATCTTTAAACTCCTTCAAAGTTGCTTTAGGATTCATGTTTCTTTGGATCTCCA